GCCATGATCATAACAAAAACTGTCAATTCTTTAACAAATGCACTTTGTTCGTTGATTCTGAGTGAACAAACAAAGTACACTTACCATCCAACTTACGACCTGCTCGACTTACGACCGTGTTTTTTATGCCAAATTTCTGGGAAATAAACAAGTGTTTGTGTTGTACACAGTGTTTATCCTAAACCTTACAGTATAAAATACAGTACTAACAGCATAAAAAGTAAAGTAAAACATGAAATACCAAAATAAAACAATAAAATAAAGTCATCACAAAAATGTTACGTTGATATTCAGTAGTAAAGTTCGACTTACGACCGGTTTCTCGGAACCGAACTCGGTCATAAGTCGGATGGTAGGTGTATATTTGTTCGTTGATTCAGAAAGAAAAAACTTTCATCATCATTCACCACTCGCTCCCCATCACTCATACATAATCAGTCTTTGCAGAGGCACTCAGATATGACAGTTTAAATGTCCCAACAAACAGCCAGTATCCTAAACCCAGATATTCAAGATGGGGTACTTTAATTCTGATTAACGGCTCCTGATCCCAAAAAATTGGAGCTACCCTCCCCTATCTTGGATCACACCTGATTACATATTATTTAACAGGTTGTGTATAGCCCCTACAAGTTTAGTGCTTCCTATGTATATAATAATCCTTGAAATGTTATATTCAACACAGCAATTATTCCCACACTCATTGAGCTCTCTGTCTTAGGCTCATGGGGAATTGTTAAGCCCATAGAGGATATACAGCAAAAGTGAAATGAGAGAAAATGAGGTCTGATCCAAGGAAAGGAAGAGTAGCTCAAATTATTTGAATCAGGAGTCGTGTGGCATGAAGGGACAGTTTACCAATAATTTACTTCCATGGACAATGAAGTGTTCTTTAATTACAAAACACAGTACCGAACAAGAGTATGTATGATTTATAAGTGCATAGGATACATTTCCATGATCTTGGAAGATATAATTTAAAATCTGAGATACATAGTGTGTGATAATTAACACTGATTTTGAAACCAAGCCTTTCCAATGCAGTAAATGCATCCTTGGTCAGTGTTAGCTAACAAACAGAGTAAACCCTCTCATAACATTCTAGCATAAATTTAACAATACAGATGCATTTATGCAGGTAAAGGGGTTATAGAATGAAGTGATCCAATCAATCATAAATGCAGAATGACATGAATTATAGCTTTCTTTGATAAATACTTTTTCTGCTTATAATGAGTAAGGAATCAGGTCTAGGAAATTGTGGTTCCACCAAGGAGAGTAACACGTGAGGGATTCGAAGATATGCACAAAGATGACATCAATAAACTGTTTGAGAAGGGTGACGAAGAACTAACTGCAGAGGAAAGACTGGAGCAACTCAATTCCTCAAGTTAGGAGGCAAATAACAGATGATCATGAGGAAGAACTTGAAGATGGACAGTTAATATTACAGGAGTAACATGAACAATTCAATGTTATTGGTAAATTTGAAGACTTTCTCAATGAAAATGACCCTAAACTCTGAAGAGGATTTTGGAGCAAGCAATGATGCCTTATTGTCAGTAAAAAAACAGATCAAATATGCATTACAGAATACCTTAGCACTCCAGTACAACTTCTGACAACTCTGCACACAGACACAAGAATGATCATCCACTTCAGTCCAGTAGAGCTACATCAATCCTCACCACATGATTTCATGCCAACAAGCAACAACAGCTAGAATTAAAGGCACAACCATTTCTTCCCAAGTAATGGATATTTATAAAAAAGAAGAAGGTTTACTGTATACATTTTATAACATAACAATATTTTATCCCATTTAATATTGCTATATATAAATTTCACTTTAAAAGCTAGGCTAACCTTTAAGGTATGAAGTATCATCAAAAATCTGCTGCGATAAAATAAATTTGTGCAAGAAAAAACATGGTTGACGTAATGTATAGGTTTTGTGAATACTTTGTGGAACTCTAATAAATATAAATTAAATACATGATTTTAGTGTTCTGTTGAAGTGTTTATTTCTGCAATAATGTACATAATGGTGTGCAACACATAGATCATTGTACTGTACATTAAAAATAATTGTAATACTGACCTTCCTGACTGTAATATCAGCCACTTAAGCTATAACTCTGGCCAACCTGGATGTAATACTAGCCACTGTTTAATTATTACTGTAATATTGGCATCCCTGGCTGTTATACTGGCCTCCCTGGCTGTTATACTGGCCTTCCTGGCTGTTATACTGGCCTCACAGGCTGTTATATACTGGCCTCGAAGGCTATTATACTGGCCTCCTCTGGCACAATGAGAGGGATGCCTTCTGTGAGAATGCCATGCAAAGCAAATTTGTGCAGAACAAATGTTTGCACAATAATCTGGAACAACACATTCCAAACTCCCCTTCCCAGAATTACTATAATTGTTTTTTTACCTAAAAATGTACTGCATACATACCATATTTTAAGTCATAAAACATCACAGAAAATCCTTGGTAATTTATGTATTATATAAAGAGTGTTGTGCAAAAATTCAAATATACATATTTTTAAGACTTAACATAATTTAATGAATTTCAGACCTGTTGTAGTACAGTAGTTCAATAGCACATTTTTTTATTCACCGGTGAATGTAACTTTGCGCAAGCCAGAATGAAAAGTCGTAGAAATCGAATACAGCCAATGAACCTCATGCAGTCATTACTGGGTAGTCGAGTACAGCTATACCCCACTTTATGTCATTTTGGCCTACATCAAATTCACCTTTATGCCACTTTTCTAGAGTAAATTTCGGTTCAGCAAATGTCATTAAGGCCGACTTTACATAGCTCAACAACATCACTTATATCAGAATTTTTTGTGTTCATTATTCTTTTAAAAAATATGACTAAAATATGTTTTTCGTGTTTTTTAAGGTTTAGCAATAGTCATATTCTTTTGTGAGTAATTTACACTAGTTTTACAGCATTTGTTGTCACTTTAAGGCATTTTTAAGACATGTCCAGTTTAGGTCAAAAACTGGGTTATATCACGGCTCTTGGAACCAATTAATGATGTAGGGTGGGGTATGACTGTATAAAACAATAGCTACATGAGCAAATCTATGCCAAGCACATTAGTGTAATGCCAAGGGGACCCATATTCTCTAGATTTATACAAGGATATGTTATAAAGCATAAAGAAAGTCACAATATCATGGCTGGAACATTTTACCAAAAACCTATAGTTAGGAGAAGAAACTTGTAACAACATTTTGGTCTGCTCTGGACCATTGTGAAGTCAGTACCACACCACAGTTGTAACCTGACAATGGTCCTGGATGGACCGATACATTGTCATCATAGGGTTCCTCTCCTAAGTGTAGGTTCTTGGTGAATAGATACTGGCATGTCATAGTATACTATATACTGTACAGTCTGTAAAACACTATCACAGTGGCAATACCTAATGTTTTTTTGTACGTTAATTTAGCTTACAAATATTTTTAAACACCAGTGCCTTTATCTCACCTATCTACTGTATACAAAATAGTTTTGAATACTGCTGCAAATATTGAGCAATTAAGAATTTGGAAGTAACTTTTATTAAAATTACATAAGAGGCAGGAAATATATGTATACACAATTTCATAGTTTGTTGCCCTTAGGGCAAATTGTGTCATGTTAGAGAATTGTTTGTACAAATTACAATACAGGTACTTAATATTAGTAACAAATATGCAGTTACCCATTAACAATTAATCACTGTTAACACTATTAGCTGCCATATAGTAATCAAACCTGTGAGGGCTTCAAATATTCTACAATGTACAAGGGCTTTCAATGCCAACCTTATTTACTATTTTCATTAGAGGAATTACTTATCCGTAGCTGTAGGAGCAGAGCTATATTTGTGAAGTCCATGTGTGTGTGAATGTAATTACACACATGATTATAATGAGCTATGCTCATTATAATCATGTGTGTAACTACCTATTTATATTGACAACGGCAGAGCTATGCTCATGATATCCAGGTGTGTATTTATAGTGACAGGAGCAGAGCAATGCTCATGATATCCAGGTGTGTAACTATTTATAGTGACAGGAGCAGAGCTATGCTCATGATATCTAGATGTGTAATTGCCTATTTGTAGCTACAGAAACACATAAGTTTTCGGTTTTCAAGTGTATTTATGCAGCTGCAAAAATCTGTCTTGTAGTTACTGGAAAAGAGCAAAGCTCATGCTGTCTCATCTTGTTATAAATTTATCATTCAATAACCCTTCCCCCCCCCACATAATGAATATTCATTTAATATAAATTTGGTTAACAAACAGGAATGCCAATAGAAACAAATTTAATTAGCAACCACCTTTACCCTGCTTAGTAATATCTTGTAGCATCTTACTCTAGAAGAGACAGAGTCTCTGCTATGCACTCGTGGGACTCGCTTCACAGAAGTTTTCGTCTGGGCTCACAAGAGACTCACACTTCTCTTTTTGCTTAAGCTTCAACGCACACTATGTTTTACCTCGGCCAATGTGAGATGCAAAACGTCTTAAAGTGGTAAGGATAGCAATGGTATGAGGGGCAATAAATGAGCCTTACTCCGCTATAGACAACACCGGAGGGTATTTTATGGCAGGTTGATAATGATGAGAAATCAGAAGACATTCAAAGACTTTATGGTCCGATACGATGTAAATACTTTAGAAAACTGACAGGTGTCTCATTCTTCAACTTTATGGTCTTTCTAAATTGAAAATGCATACATTCTGAAGTAACCTAAGTTTGCAGAAAGTGCTGGGCATGGTAACCTGCATGAGTTACACTTGCAGTAAGCAATTGGAAGACACTAAAATTGTTTTAAATTCATGGTTAGTTGGTTAATGGAGTTAAACCCTATTAACTAAATTAGGGACATTAAGGCTGCGTGTAACCATTTCACAACCAGACAAGAATACTTTAATTCCTAAAAAAAAAAAAAAAAAAAAAAAAAAAAAAAAAAAAAAAAAAAAAAAAAATTAAAGTAAACTCAACATACATATATATATATATATTGAGAGAAATACACTTCTGGGTGCGCATGTACTCTTTTGTTAACATAGGTTGTTAAATCGATAAGGGCCATATAATAATGTACAGTGAAGGGGAAAAGGATGCAAGGTGTTTAAGAAAAGAGCATCAGCTGAAAGGATGACAATTATAATTTAAGCAAACCAGTGTCTGTCTGGAAATAATTTTTTTTATTCCATTCATGGGAAAGGAAGGGTTAAACCCAGAGACCTCATACAGCATTGTGGGATATGGATAGCAATCATGTTTGATCGGAGGAAAAAGAGGGTATTACAGTGGACATTTCAAAAAAATTGTAACACTTTTGTAGCTCTGGGACTAATCTCGTTGTGCACTTCTGCCTTTTCTCCAGTTTCTTAACATATTTTTTCAGGTTTGGATTCCGTGTGTGTGTGTGTGTGTGTGTGTGTGTGTGTGTGTGTCCACATATTCGCATTTACATGAATGTGCATGCATGTACGCATATGTGTAAGTGTGTTTACCTGAAGTTGGTTCCAGAGGTCACTGCATGTGCATGTATGTGCATAGGTGTGGGGGTTGTTGTGCATGCATACAGACTACAGTACATTAAAAATACGATATATAATGCTCTGAGCACATGGCCATGATGGTTATTTTACCATAACTCAAAAACTATCACAATGGAATCATGACTCAAAAAATCGTAACAACACGGCTGCAAACAAATCACAGAATCGGTTGGGCTGGAACTCACAGCAAGCAAGTCTTACAACTACCAGGCCAGTGCACCTGATAGTTTTAAGACTTGACTTACCATGGTTTTGTGCCCCACCCTTTCTGTGATTTATTACAACGGAATTTTTTTATATCACAGCATTTAACAAAACACTTGCACATGTATGTAAATTAAAATGCCATCATATGCACTATATACTAGTCATATACAGCACATATATACATACTGGAGTACATGAAAATTTGAAGTGAATTAAAATAATGTGTCTCGTGTCACTCTTGCTTGTTAGTTTTGTAGAGTTTCCAATATTTAAGTCAAATAATTTTTTTTATAAATACCATACTGAAAATTAAAATATTTAAAACCCTATAAAAAACTAATATTCATTAAAACAAAAAATTTAAAACATCTTTGGCTTTCACAAATATCAAATGAGTCCCAAACATCACATGAACGCAAATACAGTTAAAGATACTCCACAGAGCAACCAATTATGAATTTACACAAGAAAAGTTAACCCAATATCGAAAATATAGAAAATCAAACTACATCAGGCAATTATTGAACTTGCTGTTACAAAAAATTTTGGGCTAGAAAAGTACAAAAAGGCACCAAAAATTTAAACTATTATCATGAATATTCTAAATATCCAAATGCCAATTACACGGATATTATTTGTTTGTAGGAATAATAAATTTGATCTATAGTATCTAAATCTTCATGAATTAACTAGAGTCATGTAAAAAAATATAAAATTTTCATTAACTAATCTTTCAACAAATCATACATTAGCTACTCCCCCATTTGATCTTGCATTGTGTTCTTTATAGCTGATTCCACTGTTAGCATATCCATTCTGAGTACCAGTCTGAGAAACACTACCCTGATGGGAAACATTTGCAATGCCATTTGGCATCCTGGGATAAGGTCCCAAGCCAGTTGATCCAATATGATTGAAAGCGTATGCTGGATGGAAAGGTGGTGCCTGCAGAGGGCTTGCATTGTGTACTGGTTGGTAGAGATTCTGCAGAGTTGATCGATCCAGTTCAGTTGCTCCCTGGAGCAGCTTGGTGCTCGTTACTTCACTGAGGGGTGTCAGAGCTGCTTTATTCTTAGCTTGGTTAGCATCAAATTTGGCCTGCAAATAAAAAAATTCTGAGTTCATCAAGTTAATCATTTTAATTCCTGCACAGAAATTTTACATAAGCAGGAAATTATATACTGTAAGCAATATATATTAAAACTTCATATTTTCAAGGAATATAATGAATTAATTTATCTTCAATATTATCATTCTCTCCATAGGGAAGTGGAACAGAATTCTTCCTCCGTAAGCCATGCGTGTTGTAAGAGGCGACTAAAATGCCGGGAGCAAGGAGCTAGTAACCCCTTCTCCTCTATACAATACTAAATTTAAAGAGAGAAACCTTAGTTTTTCTTTTTAAGTCACCCTGCCTAAGTGGGATACAGCCTGATCATTAAAAAAAAAAAAATATGATTTTCCTTACTTTTTGATAGCTAAATATTTTGAATTATTCACAGGTCATTAACCATTCAATGTCATTTTTTTTCCCAGCCCATAGGTTTTGTGGGAAAAGAATAAATCATAAAAGTAGGGGAGTAAATCCCACATACAGTAAGATGCAACCAACAATAAGCTTGCAAAGCCAACCCTATTGCTCACAGGTGGGGTACAATAATGTACAGTACAGTGGACCCCCGGTTTACAATCAGCTCCCAATGCGACCAATTATGTAAGTGTATTTATGTAAGTGCGTTTGTATGTGTATGTTTTGGGGTCTGAAATGGACTAATCTAATTCACAATATTCCTTATGGGAACAAATTCGGTCAGTACTGTCACCTGAAGATACTTCTGGAATGAAATAATATCGTAAACCGGGGGTCCACTGTACTTAATTTCTGTGAGGTATACACCCCCAAATGTAGTGTTTTGTGATACAATAGTTTACTCTCATCAATGCAATATTCCATTTTTCCAGTTTTCACAAGCATAAGCACCCAATCATCAAACATACAACTGCCCATACTCTCCCTCTTCTGCTTGCAGGTGGAGCCAATGACTTGTACTGACATAGACTTGGGTAGCTCTTCATCAAATTGTACACCAGCAAATCTAGCAAAGTGTACAAAGGCTACTAGCTACTAAGACCTTCTAGTTTATGGAAGCATGTAAACCCAACAAGATTGCTTCCTGAAGGAAAGGGAAATAGAGCAAAATATTTAAAGACTACAGGCCAGCCATCACTAATCTGGCAATCAGTTATCCGGTTCCAGCAATAATCCAGTACTAATTTCGGCTAGCATAACTTCAAATTTCATCATTATACTGACTCAAATCATTATACTGACTCAAATTTCATCATTATACTGACTCAGAAATTGTGCAGATGGCTGTAAATCCACAGAAGCAAGCCAGTGGAGGAGAAAGCAGTGATGAAAATGAGGAAGATGTATCAGAAAAAGTCTCTGCCGATAGGTTAATTAACCCCTTGACTGTCGCAACCCCCAAATCCTGAGGTGTCTCCTGGTGTCGCAAAATTTCCAAAAAAAAAAAAAAAAAAAAAAACTTTCTTATGAAATGATAAACTTTTCCCAATTGCAATGACACCAAAAGAATGAAATTTAATGGAAAACTGACAGAATTACGCTCTCGCGAAGTTAGCGACCTCAGCGATATTTACGAATCGGCAATTTCGCCCACTTTGAGCCCTATTTTCGATTAATTCCATTGTTCCAGTCGACCAAACTCATAGCTAATTCTTTAGAATTCCATTTTTTCTATCGATTGAGTACAAGAAACTGCCCATTTACCGACTTCAACTACCCAATAACGTGGTCAGAAATTTGCAATTTGGCCAATTTCACGAAAATTAAAAAATATGACAATTTCAAAATAGGGTCCAGAATGAACAATGCAGACATTCCTGGCTCTAAAATAACATTTTCTTTGTTCATCAGTAATGTCTTCAGGCCCCTCTTATATTACTCCTGCTTTCTATTTTGAATTTGTATTCAAACACAAAATAGAAGATTTACTGTTATGCAGACTACTGCAATATTGTAATAATTGTATAAATAATGTCAACCCATTCATGGCCATCAGAATGGCTACTTGGACATTTATTGTAAAATGACATCATGTGTTTACTTTTGAACATCGGCAAAAATCAAACATTTCCCATACTTTGAGCTCCATTTCAAGGTTCTTTTCATAGTAAAACTAATCAAAATCACCTCTATTTCTGTAATACTTTTCCCATTCTATCAAACAAGACCAAGAAAATGAGAATACAACCATAAATCTTCTTTCTTTCAACACACTGGCCGTATCCCAAAGAGGCAGGGTGGCCCAAAAGGAAAAACGAAAGTTTCTCCTTTTACATTTAGTAATATATACAGGAGAAGAGGTTACTAGTCCCTTGCTCCCGGCATTTTAGTCGCCTCTTACAACATGCATGGCTTACGGAGGAAGAATTCTGTTCCACTTCCCCATGGAGATAAGAGGAAATAAACAAGAACAAGAACTAGAAAGAAAATAGAAGAATATCCAGAGGGGTGTGTATATATATGCTTGTACATGTATATGTAGTGTGACCTAAGTGTAAGTAGAAGTAGCAAGACATACCTGAAATCTTGCATGTTTATGAGACAGAAAAAAGGACACCAGCAATCTTACCATCATGTAAAACAATTACAGGTTTTCGTTTTACACTCACTTGGCAGGACGGTAGTACCTCCCTGGGCGGTTGCTGTCTACCAACCTACTACCTAGGACAACCATAAATACTATACGAAAATAGACCACAAAGTCGGCATTTTAATTAAAATAAATGGTCGGAGTTTTTTTTTTCTCATTATGCACTGCGTGCTATAGGATTTTTTATATGGTGCACACTGACCACACAGACCCATTCTCTCACATGTAGGCCTACCAGCTTTCTCCTGCTTGATTTGAAGCTGCTAGAATTTATGAGTAGTATATATACGTCAAACACGGTGGCTCGTAAGACGTATATATACGACTGAAACAGTCAAAGGGTTAAGTATGTTCTAACCTAACCACTCTGTAATCCGGCAAACTCACTAATCTGGCACACTACAGTCCCAATGATGCTGGATTAGTGATGGCTGATTTGTATCTATTTTTATGTATGTATGGGTGTGAAGCATGGGTGGAAATTAGGAGGAAGTGCGAGAATAACAAAACTATTATCCAGAGGGCTGAGGAGGGGTTGTTGAGGTGGTTCAGACATGTAGAGAGGTTGGAACAAAATAGAATGACTTCAAGAGTATATAAATCTGTAGTGGAGGGAAGGCAGGGTAGGGGTCAGCCTAGGAAAGGTTGGAGGGAGAGGGTAATGGAGGTTTCGTGTGCGAGGGGCTTGGATTTCCAGCAAGCATGCATAAGCATGTTAGATAGGAATGAATGGAGACAAATGGTTTTTAGGACTTGACATGCTGTTGGAGTGTGAGCAAGGTAACATTTATGAAGGGATTCAGAGAAACCAGCAGGCCAGACTTGAGTCCTGGAGATGGAAAGTACAGTGCCTGCACTCTGAAGGAGGGGTGTTAATGTTGCAGTTTTATAACAGTAGTGTAAGCATGCCTCTGGCAAGACAATGATGGAGTGAATGATGATGAAAGTTTTTCTTTCTCAGGCCACCCTACCTTGGTGAAAAATGGCCTGTGTGTAAATAATGAGCGTGTTAGATAGGAGTGAATGGAGACAAATGGATTTTGGGACCTGACGAGCTGTTTGAGGTGAGCAGGTAATATTTATGAAGGATTTTTTTCAAGAACCGTTATTTTAATAGCTGGACTTGAGTACTGAATGGGAAGTACATGCCTGCATTTTAAAAGGGAGTATTTGGGATTATTGGCAGTTTGGAGAATAGTTATAATCTTTATATATGCTTTAAACTGTTTATCTGATGCCTCTCCCAAGACAGGATTATGAATCCTGAATGATGATGAATATTTTTCTTTTTGGGGATTTTCTTTCTCTTTGGGTCACCCTGTCTCGGTGGAAGATGGCCGACTTGTTGAAAAAAAAAAAATTATATATATATATTTCATCATGACCTGAACTTGTAGTTTCTTTAACTTTGCAATAATATCATACTCTATATATGTGCATAAAAATTCATATTAATAAATCAAATATTAAATACAACTATTACTACTAAAGTTTGGCCTGAAATGAGAGCATAATATAGGCTTTGAGTCAGTTTTGATAAATGTTGTGTGTATTATCCCTTCATTATTCCTGTTCTATTGTATTTCTGTAAATTTATTTTTAACACGCTAGCCATCTCCCACTGAGGCAGGGCGACCTGAAAAAGAAGAAACACTTTCACTGTCTTGTCAGAGATGTGCCAATACTACAGTTCAAAACTGTAATACTGTACATGTAATGTATTTAACCCTTTCAGGGTCCAGAGGCCAAATTTCAAAGTGCGCACCAGGGTCCAAGAATTTTCAAAAAGAAATTTTGTTATTTTTTCTTATGAAATGGTATAGAATCTTTTTCTGAAGGTAATAAAACAAAATGTATGAAATTTGACGGAAAACTGATGAAATTATGCTCTCGTAAATTTTGATGTGTCAGCGATATTTATGAATCGGCGATTTTGCCAACTTTGACTCCCATTTTAGGCCAATTACATTATTCCAGTCAACCAAATTCTTAGCTATTTCACTAGTATTACTTCTATTCTATCGATTGAGCACAATAAATCACCCAGTCAACTGTTTCAACTACAAAATAAAGTGATCGGAAATTGGTAATTTGGCCAATTTAACACAAAGTTCAAAATATTCCAATTTCAAAACAGGGTTCAGAATAAACAATGCAGGCATTCCTGGCACTGAACTAACATTGCCTCTGTTCATTAGTTACGTTTTGAGGCTTTACAAATGAATTCCATTTTGATTTTTTATTCACATAATGAATTTTTATTCAAACCAAAAAATAGAAGATTTACTGTTATGCAATATTGTAATAAATGTATAAATATCATCACCACATTTGTGAATGTATATTAGACCCACCAGCTGGCGTGTATTAGATGTGTGAGGTCGTTTGTTTACTCTTGAGCATCGACAAAAATTTAACGTTTCCGCTATTTTGAGCTCAGTTTCAAGCCATTTCCAGTGCTAAAAACCAATCAAAATCATTTCTATTTCTGTAATATATCTTCCATTCTATCAAATGAGACCAAGAAATCGCAAATACAACTATAAAAAACATACAAAAAAACACTGCAAAGTCGCCGTTTTAATCGAAAATCACGGTCTCAGTTTTTTCTCTCATTATACACTGTGTGCTGCAGAATTTGTTTTATGTGGTGCACACATACCACATGGATGTATTCTCTCATATCTAGGCCCAAATTTACCACTCACAGCTTATCGGAGAGAGCTAAGCTCATGGCATAGATCTACGGTTTGGACCCTGAACATAAAGCCTTAGATCTACGGCACGGACCCTGAAAGGGTTAAATGTGAATCTGTGTCTTGTTTTAAATTCCCAGTAGGTGATTCAAGGCAAAAAGGATTGGCAACAATATTGTTGCCTTCTGTAACTGCAAGCTTTCACTATGCACACTGAATGTTAGTTGGAAAAAATCACAGCATTTTACTGTCACCATACATGTGCCAGCCCATATCATGCAATCAACCTACCGTATTTTTTTTTTTCAAATCTAGATATACAATAATGATTTTGAATTATACATTGTTACAAATAACCATTTTGACATTTGGCAGGCCATTTTCTCTGGTTAATGCATAATAAAAAGGTGAATATATTTGCTTTCATAACCTAAAATATCCTATTTAGATTTTAACATCAGGAAAATATTTTTAATTAAAATTACATGCAAAAAAATTACCTTATTGTACCCCAGGACTCCTATAATAGCCAGGAACATGCCAACAACATTTGCAAGCGTGATGGGATTCCTCAGCAATAGTAGAGAAATTGTTATAACTGAGATACGTTTGGTGGCACTAGCAACAGCATAAGTGAGTGGTGTGACGTAGTTTAAAATTGTGAAGGCCACAAAATTCTGCAACCAATTGAGTCCACCATCCAACAACAGCAGGATAATGGTCTCCCCGGGGTCTCTTCGTAATAACTGCATGGAAAAGCAATTGTTTTGTATTAGCAAAATAAATCAGACAAAATCAATGTACACTAAAGCACACACAATTATCAAAATGTTAAAGTGTAACATATGGAAAGTGCTCTGCAAATAAAATTAAAAGATCATCATCAACATGATCCCTACTCTATCTTCCATTTTCAATGGATGAGGAAACTGCACCACATGCCTTAATGTACAAGAACATGTATTATTATTTTTAAAACACTCTGGCTGTCTCCCACCAAAGTAGGGTGACCCAAAAGAAGAAACACTTTCACAATCATACATTCCATCACTGCCTTGCCAGAGGTGCACGGATACTGCAGTTCAGATATCCTTTCATACCACAAATATCCCCACTCCTCCTACAGTGCAGGCACAGTACTTCCCACCATTTGTACAAATCATGCAGGGACTGGTAAATGGGAGGAAATCAGGTTTGATCCACAGAAGGGAAGTACAAGGCCAATTCCTTGATCAACAGCCCCTCACTAGAATCAAGGAACCTTCCATGATGAAAATGAGCACATTTTGTGGCCAAATTCCTCCAGATTTTTCCACTAAACTTGAGAATACTAGCACCTCATGCATAGATTCTATTAAATAAAAGTTTGTACAGACAATTCATATACGTGGTGAATAATGAAATCTGCATTCTCACATATTTGCATGAGAAAAAACAAACACAGTAACCCTCACCAACCATATTCACACTGCCTTCCATATTATTGTATTTGTTACATTATGAATTACATTTAACATTGGAAAATAGTCATTTGGTGTAATTGATGAGTTAATGTTTCTTTGGAACAAATTGATTAACTTGAGTCCTGGAGAAGGGAAGTACAGTGTCTGCTCTCTGAAGAATGGATTGGGATGATTCTCTTCAAAAGGTCATCTGAAATGGAATGTTCGCACACTTCTGACAAGACGGCTATGGAATGAGTGATGATGAATGTGTTTCCTCTTTTTTGTTTTTGAAGAGGTCACACTGCTATGGTGAAAGAAAGCTGCTGTAGTAAATAAGCAAACAAGTTTATAAACTACAATTGTGTTCACATGTACTGAAGGCCCAGTCACCAGGAAAAGTTTGTTTTCCATCAACATGCATACTACGTCTGCCCACTTCTCTGAAAGTCTAACCTTCAGTGAAGATCCTAACAATGACCAACTTGTTATTTAGCTTCAGATATATTTACAAATAACAACTAGATGAATAAAAGTATGTAGCAGGTCTGTCTCATGATTTATGGATGGAAAATTGAGCTTCCACCGTTACTTGTCCTGAAAAACCCATATGGGTGTACAACTTCACAAAAATTAATAATAATAATAATAATAATAATACAGTGGACCCCCGGTTTACGATATTATTTCATTCTGGAAGTATGTTCAGGTGCCAGTACTGAATGAATTTGTTCCCATAAGGAATACAGTGGACCCCCGCATAGCGAACTTAATCCGTGCAAGAGGGCTGGCTGTTATGCGAAATGTTCGCTATGCGAATGAATTTTCCCCATAAGAAATAATGGAAATAAAATTAATCCGTGCAAGACACCCAAAAGTATGAAAAAAAATTTTTTTTACCACAAAAAAATGTTAATTTTAGTACACACAAACTGAAAAAGGCATGCACAATTACATGACACTTACTTTTATTGAAGATCTGGTGATGATTGATGGGATGGGAGGAGGGGAGAGAGAGTGTTAGTGTTTAGAAGGGGAATCCCCTTCCATTAGGACTTGAGGTAGCAAGTCCTTTTCTGGGGTTACTTCCCTTCTTCTTTTAATGCCACTAGGACCAGCTTCAGAGTCACTGGACTTCTTTCGCACAACATATCTGTCCATAGTGGCCTGTACCTCTCGTTCCTTTATGATTTGTCTAAAGTGGTTCACAACAGTGTCATTGTAACAGTCACCAGCACGGCTTGCAATAGCTGTGTGAGGGTGATTTTCATCAAAAAAGGTTTGCACTTCAAGCCATTTTGCACACATTTCCTTAATCTTTGAAGTAGGCAATTCCTTCAATTTCTCTCTCCCCTCCTTTGAACCAGTTTCCCCAGGTCTGGCCTCTTGCTCTTGAAGTTGATCTATCAGCTCATCAGTGGTTAGTTCTTCATTGTCCTCCTCCACCAACTCTTCCACATCCTCCCCACTAACCTCCAACCCCAAGGACTTCCCCAATTCCACAATTGATTCCTCAACTGGCATAATCATCTCAGGGTTAGCCTCAAACCCTTCAAAATCCCTTTTGTCTACACATTCTGGCCACAGTTTCTTCCAAGCAGAGTTCAAGGTTCTCTTAGTCACTCCCTCCCAAGCCTTACCTATAAGGTTTACACAATTGAGGATATTAAAGTGATCCTTCCAAAACTCTTTTAGAGTCAATCGAGTGTCTGTGGTCACTTCAAAGCACTTTTGAAACAGAGCTTTTGTGTACAGTTTCTTGAAGTTGGAAATGACCTGCTGGTCCATGGGCTGCAGGAGAGGAGTGGTATTAGGAGGCAAAAACTTCACCTTAATGAAGCTCATGTCCCCATAAAGTCGCTCTGCCACGTCTGTAGGATGACCAGGGGCATTGTCTAACACCAGGAGGCACTTAAGGTCTAATTTCTTTTCAGTTAGGTAATCTTTCACATTGGGGGCAAATGCATGGTGTAACCAGTTATAGAAAAATTCCCTAGTGACCCATGCCTTACTGTTTGCCCTCCACAGCACACACAAATTATCCTTGAGGACATTCTTTTGCCTGAACGCTCTGGGAGTTTCAGAGTGATACACTAATAAAGGCTTAACTTTGCAATCACCACTAGCATTGGCACACATCAACAAAGTAAGCCTGTCTTTCATAGGCTTATGTCCTGGGAGTGCCTTTTCCTCCTGAGTAATGTAGGTCCTGCTTGGCATTTTCTTCCAGAACAGGCCTGTTTCATCACAATTAAACACTTGTTCAGGTTTCAGTCCTTCAGTTTCTATGTACTCCTTGAATTCATGCACATATTTTTCAGCTGCTTTGTGGTCCGAACTGGCAGCCTCACCATGCCGTATCACACTATGGATGCCACTACGCTTCTTAAATCTCTCAAACCAACCTTTGCTGGCCTTAAATTCACTCACATCATCACTAGTTGCAGGCATTTTTTTAATTAAATCGTCATGCAACTTCCTAGCCTTTTCACATATGATCGCTTGAGAGACGCTATCTCCTGCTAGCTGTTTTTCATTTATCCACACCAATAAGAGTCTCTCAACATCTTCCATCACTTGCGATCTTTGTTTCGAAAACACAGTTAAACCTTTGGCAACAACAGCTTCCTTGATTGCCGTTTTCTTGCCCACAATAGAAGAGATGGTTGATTTTGGTTTCTTGTACAACCTGACCAGGTCGGTGATACGTACTCCACTTTCATACTTATCAATGATCTCTTTCTTTATTTCAATAGGAATCCTAACCCTTATTGCTGTAGGGTTGGAACTAGAAGCTTTCTTGGGGCCCATGGTCACTTATTTTCCAGAAACACCACCGAAAACACTGTAATAATACGAAATATTCCGAGTGTATGCTTGAATGTTACCGCGGAGGCTGGCTGGTAAACAATGGCACAGGCGGCACATGTGAGGCTGGCTGAGGGCGCACATTGGACGCGTCTCGGACGAAGGCCGCTGAGCGGGTTTTTGTCCACTATGCGGGGCAAAATTTTAGCGAACAAAGCGTCCGCTATGCGGATTGTCCGCTATGCAAGGCGTCCGCTATGCGGGGGTCCACTGTATTGTGAAGTAGATTACTCCATTTCAGACCCCCAAACATACACGTACAAACGCACTTACATAAATACACTTACATAATTGGTCGCATTGGGAGCTGATCGTAAAGCGGGGGTCCACTGTATTATTATTTTTATAATACGTATACATTAAAGCAAACATTCGCACGTAAAATAGTACATACAGCAATTTGTTTGGCAATTAAAACTCCTCATGCAGTGACAAATATCTGACATTAACAGACTTGTAACTCTTGTTTCTAGAGACATCTCATTTGAAGTTCAATGAATATTCCTTTATCATATCTAGTGACAATTATATCACATTCCACGGAAGAGACTTTTTGATACATACCAGCGTGTCATCGTTAAAAATACTAAGGCCATCAGTAAACACCCAGACAGGGAGGAACATGAAGAGAGCCAAACATCCAAGTAAGTGAAGAAGTCTCAGATGATGGATACCCGTGTCAGTCAACACCTGCACAAAAATATGAAAAAATACAGCAAATATACTATGTATATATACATATACTGCACTGTAGATTATCAATTATCCAACCACATTAATAATAAAAGTTGCTCTACCACTGCTGATATGATTCACAAATAACCCACACTTAAGAGAGGAAACTTAGATGATATTTCTGTCCGGCCCGAACACCATTGTCGGGTTATGATTTGATGCTGATCCAAGCCACACTACAACATTTTCTAAGGTACCTAAGCATGGGTTATTTATGAATCCGAGACCCTCAGGGAAAATGGATGCACTGGATATCTAACAACACTAGATGGTTGATCACATCCTTGTTAATGATCATTTTGCTTTGCATCATCCAGACTAAAAGTCGTAAGATTTTATGACTTTACTCCAGATTTTCATGTGGAATATCCTGCAAATAACTTATTCCAGAAACATTAGCCCTTTAATTTGCTCTCTCACCAAAAATTTTGTTCTCAATACATATAATAAATACCTTTCTTAAGTAAATCATGCTCATGTAAAATGGTAGGAATTTCCAACATACAGTAGAAGTCAGTTTTACATGATTCTGAAGGAATAATGAGCAAAGTATTAAAAACACTTATATATCCATTCACTGTGATTATATTCATGGGAAAGCATTAAACCTGTAAGGGTCATACAGCTGTATTTCAAATTTGCCACATTACTTGGAAATGAAATCAGTAACATCAAAGATAAAATACCGAATATGTATCAAATCTTACCTTTTTAGAATAAATATTTTGGAGTGAGAAGCCACATGTGGACATCAGTGCAGAAACAAGTCCAAGCATGTCAAAAGAGATCTCTGTTATAGTGGCAATGGCTACTCCCAAGATGATTGGAACTAATGATAAATATACCTGCAATTAAACAGATAATTCCACTGTTATGGTTAAATTGTATGTGTTGGCAAATATTAACCTACATATATTGATATCAGAGGTGAAACATATTATATCTTCCAACAAACGAACTTCTTAAAAATTTACACTTCCACTCTTACCTTACTTGTCTGTTTTTCTCCAAATAAAATTCTTGCAAGTAAAATAGTGAAAAGAGGCATTGTGGCTTTAACTGAAATAAAAGAAATATAAATTAGAATAAATCTTGCTAAGATGTTTGTTTGATTACATATCTACCCATATATATGCTAGTCTCATCCCTAATGTATCTTTAATTAGATTTTTTATTAACTTACTGAATGCTTTGAATATAAAACAAAGTATTCTTATTCTCATGTACTGTGTGTGTCTCATTGTCTAGCAATTATAAGTTAGTTTTAAGGCTGCCCAAAATGCTTAGCATAACAAGGGGCATCTATAAAGTAGTTTATACATAACAATTACACAAATGTATACTGTACAGTATGGCACTTTACAGAAATGAAGTTTGTGCATATTTGTGTGTTATTCCTAGTGGTTCATCAGAGCAAATATATGAGGCCTGGCCACAGACCGGGCCGCGGGGGTGTTGACCCCTGGAACTCTCTCCAGGTAAACTCCAGGAGCCACTAAGAATAACAACCTGTTTCAATGGAAATAAAATAAGGGAAATAGGAATATGAAAGATGAGAGGGAAAAAAGTAGAAGGAATGCTGATAAATCTGTGGAAAAAATGTCTTAGTAAATGCAAAGGAATATGCATAGTGATGCCAACACTTCATGAGTGTGAGGCATGGTTTTATAGTGTTTCAGTGAGGAGACCAGAGGCAGTGATGTCATAGTTGAGATCAATGTGTGTGGCATTCTTATTATGCAAAAACTATCTTCTCAGTTACAAGAAAGCCCTTGACACAGTATCACACTGGAAACTGATATGCAAACTGCAATAGCAAGCAGAGGCAATTGACAATGTGCTCAAATGGATACAATAATACTAAAAGATTAGAAGGCAAAGACTAATGATAAAAAGAAGGTATCAGAGTGGGGACTTGATAATAATAATAGGTGAATGTATTCAGATATTTGGGAGTGGACGTGTCAGCGGATGGGTCTATGAAAGATGAGGTGAATCATAGAATTGATGAGGGGAAAAGGGTGAGCAGTGCACTTAGGAGTCTGTGGAGACAAAGAACTTTGTCCTTGGAGGCAAAGAGGGGAATGTATGAGAGTATAGTTTTACCAATGCTCTTATATGGGTGTGAAGCATGGGTGATGAATGTTGCAGCGAGAAGGCTGGAGGCAGTGGAGATGTCATGTCTGAGGGCAATGTGTGGTGTGAATATAATGCAGAGAATTCGTAGTTTGGAAGTTAGGAGGAGGTGCAGGATTACCAAAACTGTTGTCCAGAGGGCTGAAGAAGGGTTGTTGAGGCTTTTCGGACATGTAGAGAGAATGGAGCGAAACAGAGTGACTTCAAGAGTGTATCAGTCTGTAGTGGAAGGAAGGCGGGGTAGGGGTCGGCCTAGGAAAGGTTGGAGGGAGGGGGTAAAGGAGGTTTTGTGTGCGAGGGGCTTGGACTTCCAGCAGGCATGCGTGAGCGTGTTTGATAGGAGTGAATGGAGACAAATGGTTTTTAATACTTGACGTGTTGTTGGAGTGTGAGCAAAGTAACATTTATGAAGGGGTTCAGGGAAACCGGCAGGCCGGACTTGAGTCCTGGAGATGGGAAGTACAGTGCCTGCACTCTGAAGGAGGGGTGTTAATGTTGCAGTTTAAAAACTGTAGTGTAAAGCACCCTTCTGGCAAGACAGTGATGGAGTGAATGATGGTGAAAGTTTTTCTTTTTCGGGCCACCCTGCCTTGGTGGGAATCGGCCAGTGTGATAAAAAAAAAAAAAAAAAAAAAAAATAATAATAATAATAATAATAATAAATATAATACTTAACTTAAAATATATATTATAATAAGTCACTACATTATAAATAATATGGTGGGTATTGAGAACTTTCAAAACAAGGGAAACAATGCCGATGGTGACACTCTTCAAATCGCTAGTGCTCCCTCACTTAGAATATTGCTCAGTGCTGACGGCCCCGTTCAGGGCAGGAGAAATATCGGAGCTGGAACAAATACAGAGATTGTTTACGGCTCACATTGAGCCAGTATAGCACCTAAACTACTGGGAACGCCTGCAAATCTTGTACATGTACTCACTGGAGTGGAGGAGAGAGAGGTACATAATATATACTTGGAAGGTTCTCGAGGGCTTGGTCCCAAATCTGCACACTGCCATAACATACTGGAGTGAGAGATATGGGAGGAAGTGTAAAATAAACCCAGTGAAGAGCATGGGTGTGGTGAGGACAATAAGGGAACACTGTATCAACAACTGGGGTCCCAGACTTTTCAACATCTTACCAGAAGATATCAGAAACACTGCTGGAACAAGTGTTGAAGCCTTCAAGAGGAAACTAGATAAGTATCTTCACCAGGTGCCAGATCAACCAGGCTATGATGGATATGTGGGGCAGCGGGCCTCCAGCAGCAACAGCCTGGTTGATCAGGCGAGCACCAGACGAGCCTGGCCCATGGCTGGGCTCAGAGAGTAGATATACTCTCGAAATTCTTCAAAGGTATAAAGGTAAAGTAAGGAGCATACTATAATGGAAGTGGCCTTGTGTCAACCATTTTTTATATTGTTTTAATATCACCTTTGCATCATTTATAATTTTTTTTATTATTATTATTAACACATCGGCCGCTTCCCACCAAGGAAGGGTGGCTCAAAAAAGAAGAACTTTCATCATCATTCACTCCATCACTGTCTTGCCAGAGGCATGCCCACACTAGTTATAAAACTGCAACATTAACACCCCTCCTTCAGAGTGCAGACACTGTTTTTCCCATCTCCATTTCGACATTTTTGGAATACTTTTAAAAGTTTATACATTAGTGTACTGTATATTAAAATAAACAGAATAGAGGAAATCAGCTCTAATATACATTATTTAGGTATAAATACTGGTCAGAGAGCCCGTTGTAAGTCCGAGGCGTCGGTAAACGAGTACGTCGCTAAGTGAGGAGAGGTTGTAATAATATATTTTATTTTGACATAATATATGTACAAAGTAGTATAATAGTTTGGTGTACATGCCAAAAGCCCCTTTATATGCAGAGCATTTCAGCAAACTTAAAATTAACTTAATATTAATAAGGTAATAACAGTACATATAGTCATTAGATAAGTTACAATGAATACAAGAGACTTGATGAGTGGAACTTTCCAAAAATCAGTGCTTAGAAACTTGTTCGTTATACACATAAATGAACAAGATACTGGAAAAATTGAATCGTGTATCACTATTTGTGGATGATGTGAAATTAATGAGGCAGATAACTGGTAATGAAAAAGAGAGGCTTTAAAATTATCTGAATAAACTGAATATAATGATCAGGAAAGGGGCTGTTTAAATTCAATTCTGTAAAGTGCAAATTGAGACTAGGAGGCATTGAGAATATTGGACACAATTTAACCTGGAAGGTGTTATTCTGCAAACAACATACAGTCATACCCCACCCTATGTCATTAACTGGTTCCTAGAGCTGTGACGTAACCCAGTTTTTGATATAAATTAGACATAATGCCTTTAACCCTTAAACTGTCCAAATGTAGATCTACGTTTTTTCAACATCCGAAAGTATGTAAAAAATGTAGATTTTCTTTTTTATTTTATAGTTGAAAGCGTGTAAAAAAACTTTGATCAACCTTTTTTTTTTTTTTGTTATATTTGAAAATACATATAGGTAAAAAATTGTAGATCTAATTTTGGAGCACTAAGCATGTGAACGTAGATCTATGTTTGGACAGTTTAAGGGTTAAATGATGACAAACACCATAAAACTAGTGTAATTAACTCGTGAAAGAATATAGCTATTGCTAAATTTTAAAGAACACTAAAAACACAATTTAGCCATATTTTTAAAGAATAATGAACATAATGAATAATGAACTCTGAAGGAGGGGTGTTAATGTTGCAGTTTAAAAACTGTAGTGTAAAGCACCCTTCTGGCAAGACAGTGATGGAGTGAATGATGGTGAAAGTTTTTCTTTTTCGGGCCACCCTGCCTTGGTGGCAATCGGCCAGTGTGATAATATAAAAATAATAATAAATGAACATAATTAAAAAAATTATGACAAAGGTGACGGAAAGTTGGATGTAATGATGTTCACTGAACTGAAATTTACTCTAAAGTGGTGTAAAGGTGAATTTGACGTAGGCTGAAATGACGTAAAGTGGGTTATGACTGTAAAAGGAAAAATATCTGGGAGTAAGCATCTACTCAAATACATCACCAGTCACATTCATCCAAAAAAGTCAAACATTGTGGATTATTTCCACTGAGCTCCTTAGGTCCCTTCCCAGGATACAACCACAATATATACCTGAATGATCCCTAGGTGTCAATAATATTTACTGCTAGGTGAAGGAAGGAGTCAGAATATTCTGTCTCACTCTACCTAGGACTGAACTAAAGATCTTTTGGTTGCAAACAATCTTCCATGTGATAATAAAAACTATATGCTATTACTTATGCACAACATTTTTAGGTCTTAAGCTTGGGCTAATAGTAGTAGCATGAAAATAAAAATGTACTGGACATAGGTGCATAAATGAGGCTGACTATGCAATAAATACAAAGAATTACATATATACATAAACAACAAAAAACTTATTGAAACTAAGCATTTAGTAAAAAGGTATAGAATAAAATTTCATGTTAAAGTGAAATTGAACTTCAAGAAAATTAAAGACCAAATAAGAAAGTAATGATGCAGATACCTTATATATAAAAATGCAAGGAATATTGTGCAGCTAATTTATAACTTCGAAGTTAAAGATGAATAGTAATTTTTTTTTTTTTTTTGAAATCATAAAGTAAAAATTTTTTAATTCATCTATCAAGCTATTCCACAATTTTGACCCTTTCAGTTGCATTAAGTTTCTTCAGCAATGGTGCCCCGTGGCCTTGTGGTTAAAGCTCTCCCTTCACACAGTGAGGGTCCAGATTCGATTCCCAGCGAGGGCAGAAACATTGGGCATGTTTCTTTACACCGGTTGTCTATGTTCCTCATCAGGAGCCTGGGTGTTGGTCGACTGGTGTGGGTCGCATCCTAGGACAAAACTGACCTAA